TCTTTGCAGTCTATAGCTTTACTGGAGCTTCCTTTCTGGCCAAACTCACATTTTAAATCATTCTGCTGGGCTCTTTGCTCTTGATTCTCAATATAAATCCTGCCAAAGGCCCCCAACAGTAGCCATACCACAGCCTCAACATTAGACTGCCTTGAAATTTCTTTTGTTAGATTTATCAGCCCATAGCCCTTAATATCGGTCTCAGACACAGTCTCTGGAATGGGAAAACATTCTGCCAAGGCATTACACACATGTTCTGGAGTCCACCAGTCAGTGTAAACCTTCTTCCCAACAGAAACCTCATGACCCTAGTCTTTCATGGCAACATTTCTATCAGTATTCTGGTCTCTTGAGCTCTGACCAGAATCTCCCATCAAGTACAGCCTAAGGCTTTCCAGGGCTGCTATTTTAGCTGGTATCTTGGAACCTTTCCATAAGCCAGTTCCAAAGGCTCCTGAACCATGTTGTCAGGTAGACATACCGATGGCTTCACTCCCACTACCAAATTCTTAGTTACTTTTCTTTCATTGCTGAGACAAAATACCCAACAACCAAAGTTAAAGAAGGACAAGTTTACTTAACTCATAGTTTGCAGAGGTTTCAGTCCATAATCAGCTGTCTCTAAGGTAGGGTGCCATGGCAGAAAGGTATCACAGAGGAGAAACAGTGTACAGCAAGCAGGTGGGCGAGAGCACAGTGGGCTTCTTTCTGTCCCTTATATTTTATGCAGGCTACCCACCCTAGGGTGAGTATAGCACTCACACCCTAAACTCTAGCCAGAACTGTGCCAAACCAATCAGTGGACAAATGTAATAATCACACACCCTCAATCCCAGCACCACACACTCTAGATCCATCCACCTCTGAAAAGCAACCCCCTCTGGGGGGCATTGGGGGGACATCTAGACACAAGCCATAACAGACCTCCCAGAGCAAGCCTGCCCACTAGGACCCTGCATGGCCAGCTGCTCCCAGGAGAGCATGTGAAACGGCCCCTTCCCAGCTCTAGATGCTCGGAGCCCAGTGCTCCCCTCCTCCCTCTCCCCAGGGACTCACAGTGTAGAGGGGCAAGAGGGTGGAAGGGCTGGAAAGCCTCCTGGTTTGTCATTCAGCAATGGATAAGAAGGGGTGAAATGCCAGTACCAAAGACAGAGCAAAGGAAGCTATCCATGCACACGCAGAAAATAAGGAGTGCTAACTGTGCAAGAAATTCAGACCACTTACTACGATCACCACACGGCAGCAATTCTAAACAATATCAGTGATAAATTCTCCTCCCTCAAGACATCTTATGTTGGCCTGTATTCTAAGTTGTCACCGCAGTCACCCACGAGCTTTAGTAAAACATGCAAGCTCCAAGTTAGTGCATTTTAATGCCTTATTCTTTACTAAACACTGTGTCCTATGTGGAATTTAATTAGGAAATTTCCCATTAATTCAGTGGTTCCCTTAGCTATGGGCCTTTGCTCCGAGTAAGTGCTGGCAGTTCAGAATGAGCTGGGCAGGCTTTGGCGTGATGCCTTGCCTTTAAATAGTGAGTGCTCTTGCCTTTAAACAGTTGACTAGATATAAACTATGGTAGCACAGTAATTGTAAAGACAACGAAACAGAACTCTATTTTCTACAATTATGTCCTTCCATGTGACCACTGGAGTTTTGTGTTTAAAATTTATAACAGTGAAAAAGTACAAATGGTGAAGTACTTTTAATTGGCAGTTTTATTTCACACATGAAATATTCTACTGAATTTCATTCATATCTTGAAGATTAAACAAACTCTTTTTTTTAAACTTTTAATTTTGGGGGGGTTTGAGGCAGGGTCTCACTATGCAGTTGAGACTGACCAGGAACTCACTATGTAGCCCAGGCTGGTCTCGAACTCACAGCAATCCTCCTGCCTCAGCCTCCTGACTGCTGGGATTACAGTCATGAGCCACCACGCCCGGCTAATTATTCATTTTAAAACTAAATAACAAGTCAGGAAAGCAGAAACTGTGGATATGTTAACTATTAAACCACCAACATGTGGGTTATTTAAAACATATTTGTGCAATTTAAAAAGTATTAATCCATTGTTCTTTTCCTTTTATGTAGTAATATTTTATTTTTATTTCTTTACTTGCATGACTATGTATACACGAAGTTCAGTATAAAAAAGAAATGTTTCGCACATTTCTAGTCATTATTATTATTTGTTTCATTAATGGATATCAATAAAAATGGTTTGGCATGTGAAGAAGAGCATAAAAAAAGTAATCTGAGCCAGGTCAGGCAGTACACACCTGTAGCAATCCCAGCTACTCGGGAGGCTGAGGCAGGAAGATTTGACCTTGTGGCCAGCCTGGACTGCATAGCAAGATGATGTGTTAAAAAAAAAAAAAAAGTGAGATTGGAAGATGCAGCTCTGTGATAGATCATTTGCCAAGCAAGTGTGAGGTCCTAGGTTTAACCCCCAGTACTGGAAGAAAAAAAATCTGATACTCTTGATTGCCACAAGCAAAATTTAGCCCCAAGGAAAATCTCTCCAATGAGGTCTCAGTGGGCCTGAGAAAAAGTCCATGGGGGAAGGGAAGGGACGACACATCCCTTGCTCGCGCCCTTCTTCTGGTCCCGTGTGCCGCTGCACTCCCCACACAGCGTCAAAGGCATGAGGTATGAGAGGACCCCACCCGTCAGGCCTGCTGCCTGGCACAGGCCATGGCGGGGTGCCCATGCCGGAGGGGCCCCACCTCTGTCTTTCCCCTTGATGTGCAGTGTCCTGGCCCCCAGAGGCAGAGGTCCATTGTCTTCTTTGGAAGCCTCCCTTCCAGGCACCCAGCCCAGAGGGCACTGCACTCCCTGCCACCACCTTCAGGCTGGTGGTGGTGGCTGCCCAGGAAGGACAGACACACGGGAGCTCGGAAAGAGGCAGCAAGGCTGGCTCAACAGCACAGCCAAGTGCCTGCTGCATGTCAGACCTTGTGGTGGTCTTTCACATTTATTCTCCCAGTAGACAGGGCAGCCCTCCGCCACCAGTGAGGAGATGGCCTTGAGGTTGAGGAACTAACACCGCTGGCACGGTCAGGCTCCCTGGTGCTGACTGCCTGGCTTGGTGTCTAGCCCCTTCTGTGGGGCAGGTCAGAGATAGCTTCCCAGAGGGAGCCAGGAGAAAAAGCTGGGTCTTGTAGGTGAAGGGTTGGAGGATTGGGTCCTAGTGGCAGAGCCACTTGGGAGGGCCACAGAGCATGGGATAAGGAGTATCCAGTCCCCAGGGCCCCAAGAGGCCCTGCTTCTCCTGAACCTCTGCCCACTGGGGCAGATGCATGGGCCCAGCCCCAGCAGCACCCCGGAACCTGATCTCCAGTCTGGCTGTGCAGGGCTGTTCTATGACCCCTTCCATCTGCTTGCCCCCAACCCTCCCACCCTCCAGCAATCAGTAGGCTCAAATCCCTAGAACATGGGCCAATGTGGCAGGGAGGGCTAGGTCTAGAGCCCAGGGTTCTGTTCGGTCTTAGGCTGTGGTACCAATAACCCATGACAGCCCACATCTGGGGCTGACCCTTCACAGCTCACTATCGCTGAGAAAGCAGAGGCCCCCGAGGTGGAGAGCAGCGCTGGCTCTGAGTACAGGGACCCTGGAAAGAGGGCAACCTCAGCCACATATACCTCTGCTAGCTCCAAGCTGGAGCATCCGCCCTCCAGAGGGCAGGGCAGGGCAGGTCAAGCATGTTGAGGTGCTTGGTGCCATTAAAAGAAAACCTCTCATGATGATCACCATCCTACCTTACAGGTTTGGGAACTGAGGCCCAGAAAGGGTGGGATTTACCCAAAGTCACACAGTGGGCCAGCAGGGAACTCGGTACACTTTCACCACCTACAGAGTGACTTTCCTTCCAGCCCCCTTATCACGCAGCAGGGGCCTCTGCTGAAATCAGGCGATAAGATCAGGCGGCCTGGCCATCAACTGGAGCTTGTGAAAGGGTTGCCAAAGCAAAGTGGCAACTGTCGAGAGCAACTGTCGGGGCTGGTGACATCGCTGAGGGAGGAAGGACAGAGGAGGGCACTGGGCAGGCTGAGGTGGACAAGGGTCTGGGCAGGGGACAGGATGATGGGAACAGCCCTGTGGGGCTCTGGAGCAGTACGGGTCCATACTGAGGGAGGAAGGGACACGTCCACCAGAAGAGAGGCGGTGGACACAGCGGTAGGCAGGCTCCAGAGATGAGTGCATGACTCCCAGGGAGGACAGGAAGGGAGACAGGTGTGAGAGGGCTGGGCCTGGGCACGCACTGCCTGGGATACATTCTACACAGAGGATGTGGAAACGGGGCTCCCTCAGGGTCTCACCGTTAGAGACACAGCTGGATCAAATTCCAGCTCAGTCTGAGCCCACTGCCAGGCTCTGCCTCGGCCACACCTTCAACTGTCCTTGGCACCTCGGGAGGAGCTAAGGAGGTCAAGGCGCATCATCGGCCATACATTATTCATTCACTTGACAAACACTTACTGAGCACCTGCCGAACGCCAGGTCTTGCATAGGGCATGGGAAAATACAATAGTAAGGCAGCTGCAGTTTCTGCTGGTGAGGAAGAGAGCCTTTCCGGTCATTTGACCCAACTCCCATGTAGGGACATGGAGATGGAGGCCTGGCCACGTAGTTAGTGAGGGATGGGGTCAGCCCCAATCCTTTTCCAAGGCGTACTGCTCCCGGGTCCTCCTGCAAGTACCCATCGGCACCTGGGTGCGGGGCGCTGCTTTGGGCCCTGGGACAAATTCATCCACGGACTCAGTGGTGGAGGGTGGGGATTGAGCAGGAAGGCAGGGAGAAGATGAACAGGACCGGGCTTTTGTGGGTGGGGGGCGAGGTAATTCCATCTCTCCACTCCCCGGAGGACTAGAGGGCTTTTCCAGAGCTCCGCCTCAGGGGTGGGGCTCCTGAGGTCCAGAGCAGCCCTCCCCCCACCAGGAGGAGATATAAAGGTCCCTTCCCAGCTACTTCCAGAAAGGAGCAGGAAGAGGTGACAGGTCAGCTGGGGACCCTCTGAGAGGAAGGTTTTAGGGGACCCACCTGTGGAGCCGGAGGTCTCGCTGCAGAGATGCCGCTGCTCCTGGCCCTGGCAGGGGTCCTGGCCACACTCATGCTCACCCAGCCCTGTGAGGGCACCGTCCCAGGTAACAGCCCTTGGACAGCCAAGGAGGTGGGTCGACCTGAGGGAAAGGAAAAGGAGGGGAACACTTGGATCTGGGGGAAGGGTGTCTGAGGCTCCCTCGGACTCTGAGTCCCCACCCATTTAAACAGCCTCCCCTAGGGCAGTGGAGATCTCGGTCCTTTGGGACAGCATAACAGAGGCCAAGCTGCTGGTGGACTCAGCTTACAACCAGACCCAGAAGAGGTGGGCCCGGGCCTGCCTGGGGTCCTGGGGGAATGGGCTTCAGCTAAGGTCTTTTCACCCAACACTGGCCCCTGCACTTCATGAGACCTCCCTTTTCTGCAACCGCTCTCTGCCTACTCTGTCCTGACCATCCACTCCCTGCACTGGGGCTCTGAGGGGTGGGTCTGCACCCTTCCTTCAGTCCTCCCTGTTTCTCCCCTGGGCAGCATCAAGCAGCGCCTTCGAAGTGGCTCAGCCAGCCCCATGGACCTCCTGTCCTTCTTCAAGCAACCAGTAGCAGCTACCAGGACTGTTGTTCAGGCTGCTGATTACATGCATGTGGCCTTAGGGCTACTGGAAGAGAAATTTCAACCCCAGGGATCCCAACCCTTCAATGTCACTGGTACTCTGCTCTCCACCTGGCCTGGGAGTGGAAAAAAGCCAGGAGTGGGAGGTGGGGGGCACAGCCATGGTGTGTTGGGAGGAGAGAGGGCAACGAGATGGTGAAGGTTGGGCGGGGCCAGTCCAGAAAGGAGCTAAGACCCTGGACTCAGGCCTGGCCCCCTGGCCCTGCAGATGGGCTAACGGAACCCCAGCTGCACCTGCTGTCCCAGGCCAGTGGCTGTGCTCTCCAGGGCCAAGCTGAGAAGTGCAGCAACAAGTACCGAACCATCACGGGGAGATGCAACAACAGGTAGGTTCCAGGGCTGCCCTGACCCAGGGGCCCTCCCTCCCTCCCCAGCCTCTCTCCTATACCCTGCTAACCCCTACACATTCCTGCTACAGGAAGAGACCCTGGCTGGGGGCCTCCAACATGGCCCTGGCTCGCTGGCTGCCAGCAGAGTATGAGGATGGGCGGTCACTCCCCTATGGCTGGACCCCCGGCAAGAAGCGCAATGGCTTCCTCCTCCCTCTTGTGAGTTGGGGTGAGGGGGCTGCAGGATGCTTGACCTCCTTTGAATTCCGGGAGTAAAACAGCCTGGAGTCAGCCAGATGGGATTTACCGCAAGTTCTCCCACCAACCAGCTGGGTGATACGGCTAAATAATTCTACTGAGTCAGTTACTTTATCTGTGGGATGTCTCACAGAGCTGGTATGAATACAAAGCATAGTACTTGGTCTCAATAGCCACATAAGACATGGTCTCTTAGTGCTAGCTACTGGAGTATTGTTTTTTGGTTTTTTTTTTTTTTTTTTGGTACCCAGGGATCGAACTCAGGACCTTGTGCTTGCCAGGTGTGTGTGTGTGTGTGTGTGTGTGTGTGGTTTGCTTTCTGAGAGGATTGGTGTCAAAGTATCTTGCTAAATATAAAGAGCTATACACCTTAATCTGGAAATACCTATTGAACTATACAACTGCATACTCATCGACTTTTTATATGCCAATATAACAATTAATCATCTATCTATCTGTTGATATCTACTTATTTTTCTTTTATTGCTTCTCCCATACTCTTATTTTTTATCCATCACCTTGCAACCAGTCTATGCATCTGTGAATCATTCCTATTAACTGTCAGCCTACAAATTAATCTGTCAATTTGACCTATTTACTTCTCTGGGAGAGCTGGTGGGGCCTGAGACAGTCATACCAGTCCCTCTCCTCTTTATTGCTGGAATCCTCAGGAGCCAGGCCAGAAACCATCCTAGGAATGACTGCCACAATGGGAGAGAGCTGCATCGCCAGGGACGAAGGAGAAATAGAGGGGAGGGCGGAAGAGGAGAGACTCTGGCCCCTCCAGCAGGGGGAGCTGCTTGCCCTCAAGTCTTGGGTTGACGCTAGCACCTTGTGGATCCCAAGCCCGGGCCCACTGCTGATCTTATTTTCTCACAGGTCCGGGCTGTCTCCAACCAGATCGTGCGCTTCCCCAGCAAAAGGCTGACCTCTGACCGTGGCCGGGCCCTCATGTTCATGCAATGGGGCCAGTTCATCGACCATGACCTGGACTTTTCCCCAGACTCCCCAGCCAGAGTGTCCTTCATTGCAAGTGTGGATTGTGAGAAGACATGTGCCCAGCTGCCCCCCTGCTTCCCTATCAAGGTACCCTTAGCCAGCCAACCTTCCAGACACCAGGGTGGCTTCTATCCTAGGCAAAGCGAGGTAGGCAGGGATGGGAGAGACTGAAGCCTTTCTCAAGGAGCCATTTGTGCAGCTGGGGTATAATCTGGAGACCCAGAATGCAGCCAGGCATGGACCCTCTTGCTGCACATGCTGAGGAAGGGAGAGGACCTGCTGAGGCTCAGGTGACTTCATGGAGGAAAGCCATGGAGACAGGCTTCAATCTGTAGGTTTGATTCCCAGAGGGGAAGCTCCCGGGCCCCTACTTTTGGAAGCCTTTAGGATTTCTTACTTTTTCTCCTTCTTGAGGAGGTCCAAGGTCCCTGAAGCTCTCACCAACTTCTGGGGTTGGGCTTTGAGCAGAGTCCTTTCCTGCTAGAAAACAAGGATGGTGCTGGCCACAAGGCAAGAAACAGCAGAATCCAGGGAGTGGAGGCTCTGCTGGGGCTACAGCGGGGACAGGCACCACCACAAACTCCACCACCCACGATAGCCAGGCCACACTCATGAAGGATGACATGTGAGGCCCTGGCCGGCCCCTCCCTGTTGCTACCTCCCCCCTTCCTCAAGCTCTGGCACAGAGGCCCCTCCTCTGCAGGGCTTCTAGACCTTCCTAGTGTACCCTTAGCCTTTGGCTTCTATATCACGTAGAGCCACCTAGAGGGACTTAGCTTTGTGCGTGTGATTGTCTGTACTGCGCTGGCAGCTTCCCACCTCTGGCCCTGGGTTCACTGCCCTTCGTAGTCTCCAAAGCACCCAGCAAGAAAGGAGCCTAGGAAATGTTTGTCCAACTGTGCCCCCTCTCAGAAATGGTTTCCCCACCTGTACGATGAGACTCTAGATTGTTTCAAAAGCCTCATCCATATCTAACCTTTTGTGACTCTATGCTACAAAACGCTAAGGGCACTCAGATCCAAGTGATGAGCAGCATGAGTCCAGGTGAGTCAAGGTGGGCTTCCTGGAAGATGGCTTTTGAGCAAGTTTTTTGAGGGAGGTAGGGGATGACCGAAAGGAGTGAGCCTGCTCTTGAGGGGTTCCAGAGTCACTGACTGCTCTTCTACCTCAGATACCACCCAATGACCCCCGCATCAAGAACCAGCGTGACTGTATCCCTTTCTTCCGCTCGGCACCATCATGCCCCCAAAACAGGGCCAACATCCGCAACCAGATCAACGCACTTACTTCCTTTGTGGATGCCAGCATGGTGTACGGCAGTGAGGTCTCCCTTGCCCTACGGCTCCGCAACCAGACCAACTACCTGGGTTTGCTGGCTGTCAACCAGCACTTTCAGGACAATGGCCGGGCCCTACTGCCCTTCGACAATATGCATGATGACCCCTGTCTCCTCACTAACCGCTCTGCACGCATCCCCTGCTTCCTAGCAGGTCAGCTCTGGGGGGCACTGGTGTCTGACTGGGATGGGGAAGCCATGGTGGGATGTGGGGAGGGAACGTGGTTCGGGACGTCAGTATCAGGCACACCATAGGCATCGATCTGAGCACAGTCATCAGAGAGCCAGTATGTCATAAGGAATCCCTTTGCTAATCCCGTGTGTGGCCAGAGAGCCCTGCTTGACAATCTGTAGTGATGTGGGGGACTCACCACCTGCTGGGTGCCCCAGCCCATCCCCAGGCTGCTCCGCTGGCTCTAAGAAGCAGGCTGTATCTCCTTACACAGCAACAGCCCCTTTAATTATCTGAAAGCAGCTTTGCTTACCCCTAGATTTTTTTCTTCTCTAGGCTAAATTTTCTTACCCACCCCTAATGCTAGCTAGACAGTGATATCTGATACCTTCTTCTGGATGCATAATATGAACTCCTCAGATTCTTTTGCCTGCCCCCCAGGCATGTGGATGTAATGATAATGGCAATCATTTCCAATTATTTAAGATATTCAAACGGGCCACCCCTCAACCTCAGAGAAGCCCTGAAAGACAGGAGCTATCATCCTTACTTTCAGACAAGCTGAGACTCAGGGAAGATAAGTAATGTGTGCGAAGAGCACAGAGTTTCCAATGGAAGAGCCCACACGGGGACAAAGTTAGTGTAGCTCAGGGTCTCTGCCATGGCTGCTGTGGTCCCTGCTTTCCTTAAGGTGAGTGGCTCAGGCCTTGCTCTGTAAGAGCTATACATCAGGGAGTCCCAGGGAGAGCAGCAAGTGCATTCCTGAGTCTTCTGAAGCACAGTCTAAATGAGACCCTGTGAAAAGGGCTTGGTGAGATGCCAGATGACCGAATTTATCTTCTTGAGGGTCTGGGTGTGGAAACAGTGTTCTGTTCAACCTTCCCTCTTGTTCTCCTTCCCTCTGGCTCCTCGAGAGAGAGCAGTGTGACACCAAATGCTAAGATGGGAAGGAAGGTTCAGTCCTTGGTAGAAGATATGCAGGTGGGTGGGCTCACCCACCCCAATCAAGTTCCCAGAGTGGTCCAAGTGCCCCCACCACAGCTAGTCCAGGCCATCTTGCAGAGTAGAGTCATTAGGCAAATATTTCCCTACTGGATCCAAGATCTACTGTGCTCCCATCGTGGGCTGCAGTACTGGGGAGGAGGGTGCAATCAGTGGGTCTTATGGTGCAGCCAAGGATATGGAGGTGCAGTGAAGATAGAGCTTGGCCCACCCACCTCCCTAGGTCCCAGACCTCAGTCTGCTGTCACTGAAAGGCTGTCTAGGAGGGGCTGTGGCAACTTGGAACTTGGGGTTTTCAAGGTGACTCCCGGTCAACTGAGACCCCCAAACTGGCAGCCATACACACCCTCTTTATGCGAGAGCACAACAGGCTGGCCACTGAGCTGAAACGCCTGAATCCCCACTGGACTGGCGACAAGCTGTACAATGAAGCCCGGAAGATCATAGGGGCCATGGTCCAGGTAGGAAGTGCCGGGTCTCAGAATCACCCAGAAGCCAACTGTCATGCGGAGCAGTCGGGGGAGTGGCTCACACCATCCTTAACACATGCTTGGGGTGTATCTGAGGTCAGCTGGGTCTGGGTAACTAGGGTGCACCTTTGCCCCAGTCCTGCTATATTCTAACTCCTTGTGACCCATGACACTCAGCTTCTCTGGGCTTGAGTATCTCATCCCCCAGTGGGAAGTTACCATTGCCACATTTGATGTGACAATAAAGACTTCCTAGGTCTGAACAGCCCTTTGAAAACACAAGTCTGTCTGAAGCAAGTGTGCTGGCACTGCCTCCAACAGTCTTTCCTGCCTTCTTTCCTAGATAATCACCTACAGAGACTTTCTGCCTCTGGTTCTGGGCAAGACCCGGGCCAGAAGAACCCTAGGTCACTACCGGGGGTATTGCTCCAATGTGGACCCACGTGTGGCCAACGTCTTCACCCTGGCCTTCCGCTTCGGCCACACCATGCTGCAGCCCTTCATGTTCCGCTTGGACAGCCAGTACCGGGCCTCAGCACCCAACTCCCACATCCCGCTTAGCTCTGCCTTCTTTGCCAGCTGGCGAATCGTGTATGAAGGTGATCAGGCTTTCCAGAGGCAAAGGGGGTGTGGCGGGGAGCACTCCCTCCCCCCCGGGGGTGGGGCAACCCCACATACTGCCAGGAGGACACGTTGTTGTCTCCCCAGGTCAGGAGAGGCAGGGATAACACACGACCTTCCGTCACGGGCCTCTCTTCCCTGTGGGGGGGATTCCTGAGAGGGGCAGACTGGTGTCCTGGTAGACCTCCAAGGTGCTCACACCTTCTTTAAGAAGGTGGGTGGGGTGACCTCTTCCCCCACTTCAGCTCCCTCATGTCTACCCTGGTTTATCTGGACACACATTAGAGACTGGCTTGTCCAGCTCTGATCTACCTTGGCATCACGAAATAACCCAAGGCGATTCTAGAGTCTGGTCTAATCCGTGCTGCTATCATTCCCTGCCACCAGGTGGCATTGACCCCATCCTCCGAGGCCTCATGGCCACCCCTGCCAAGCTGAACCGTCAAGATTCCATGTTGGTGGATGAGCTCCGGGACCGCCTATTTCAGCAAGTGAAAAGGATCGGACTGGACCTGGCAGCCCTCAACATGCAACGCAGCCGTGATCACGGCCTTCCAGGTAAGGCTGGTCCTCTCAAGGGGTTCTGAGAAGAACTGGGCCTCCCTTCTGACAGGATGTATGATGGTACAGAGCTGTGTACCACTGCACTCTGGGAACCTGTCACTTCTTCCCCATTACTGTAGGGTCTCCAGCTTTAGGTTCACCAAAGGGCTAGGACTTGGCATGGGAACTGAAAAAAGAGATCAGGACTTTCCCACTAGAGAACAAGAGTTGACTGAAAAAGCAAGGAAGACTTGCTTCATTCCCAGCCTCCCTGGGAAGTTCCAGGGAGGGAGGCTAAAGCTCTAGGCCTACAAAATCTGGCTCCTTGCTGAGAAGTGACAGGCAAAGAGCCTTAGAGTCAAGTAGCTAGTGGAGTAAAAGCAAGGTTGCCTTGGCTATGTGGGGAGGGCACAAAAGACTTCATCCCAGGGAAGAAGAAAGAGTAGGCACTTTCATGGACAATCCACTCAGCCCTCCCCATGACCTTGGCGCACAAATATTATAGCCGTGATACACAAGGAAATGAACTCACAGTAATTTGTCCAAGGTCACACAAGCAGTAAAAGTCTGTAGTGAAATTGAAACTGTCTCTTCTTCCCGCTATTCAACACCATTAGGGCAAAGATGTCAGCCACTGCGATTCCCTTTTCTCTTTTCCCTACCTCCTTGTCTAGATGGAAGCCTCATCTGCCTGGGTGCTCTCTGGCCACATATAAAGGAGTCAGGGGACTTCCTGCCACCTACTTCCCTAACGCAGCACCTGACAGATGCAGCAGGCACTCTGGCACCTGAGTTCTTTTCTCCTTAAACTGGGGTCTCCTGACAGCTAAGGAGCTGTGGACCCCCCCCCGTTGGAGTCTTGAGATCACCAGCCAGCCTCCTAAATTGTGACACTATGACTCCTGTTCCCAACACTTCTTCTGTTCCCTCCATGCCATCCCAGAAATATCCTAACACTAACTCTCACAGACTCCTCTAATCCCTTCTCATGACTAACAAATTTGGGGTTGGATGACCTGGTTTGAACTCCTGTTCCAATGACCTTGGACAAATCACTTTTAAATATACCAGATATATTACTATAAAAGTGCCTCACAGAGATTTTCTAGGGGTCCTGAGAAATATTCATGCAACAGAGCTTAGTAGTAATAAGACATTGCATGGCTTCCCTTTGTTTAGAGGGAGGGGTTTGTCACATGGGGCTGGTGTTTCTTCAGGTTATGCAAAGCCATCTCCATTCTTGGTTGTCCATAGCATATTACGTAGCATTGGCCCTGGTATTAGATCCTGATAGCTCCCTCCCTTCCTTCTTTCCTTAGAGACAGTTGCCCAGGCTTGGCTTGAACTTACACTCCTCCTGTCTCAGTCTCCCAGAGTGCCAGGATTAGAGATGCACCACCGTGCCCAGAAACCACCAATCTACTTTCTATGTATTTGCCTATTCTAGAACTCTCATATTGTATGTGGTCCTTTTCGGAGTAGCTGAGTCTTCATTTGTTGGTTTGTTCACTCGTTTATTTACTTACTTGCTCACTATACTACTCATTCTATACTCCTGAGTCAGACCTTTTGATATTCTGGGTACTGAGCCTAACTAATGCACGTGAGCCCAATAAAGGTATCACGAAGTGCAAGCTGTGAGTTTTGGTTACAACAGCTCCTCAGTCTGATGCACACAAAGCCTGGTTGTCCACTCACAGTTTAGAGGGCAGTAAGCAGGTATTCGGACTGGCGGGGATCTTCTTGTTTGGTCCGACATTAACTATTCACAGAGCAAATACCAGACCGGTGTCCTCTAAAATGGTGCAAAGCCATGCTCTGGAGGACATGGGGAGAGGAGCAGAAGCTAATGAGAGATGGACAGGACTAAGCCGCTTCTCTCTGTCTCCGGCAGGGTATAACGCATGGAGGCGCTTTTGTGGGCTTTCCCAGCCCCGGAACTTGGCACAGCTTAGCAGAGTGCTGAAAAATCATGACTTGGCAAGGAAGTTCCTGAAACTATACGGGACACCCAACAACATTGACATCTGGGTTGGGGCCATCGCAGAGCCTCTTTTGCCAGGGGCCCGTGTGGGGCCTCTTCTGGCTTGTCTCTTTGAGAACCAGTTCAGAAGAGCCCGAGATGGAGACAGGTGAGTGATTCCACTGTAAAAGACATCAATTCAGAAGCAGAGCAGAAAAGCACTAGCATTTCAAGAATCTCTGGGGAAAAGGGTTTTAGATTTGTTTCAGGCTCCTCCCTGGAAAACTGGGTCTGAAAGAGAGATGCTGACCCAGGTGAGGCTGATATTGCTGGAGCGAGAGTCACCTTAAACCCAGGGGAGACCTGTCAGCCTCACTATTCTGGGCTGGCAGATCCCATAAGACGGAAAGAATTAAATCTGGTTTCCCTACAGTAACCTTGTGGTTTAAAACCTGACTCCTTATTTGGATGTGGTATTTGCTTGGTCTGTGCCTGTAATAATGGGCAATTTATTGAACCACTGAAACTGCTTCTTCATTTATAAAATGGGAATAATACCTATCTTGGAATAAGTTTCTAGGAATCGAGTGAGATACTCTATGTACAGTACCTGGTACAAGTGCCTGTAAGGTAATTCCTTCCCAACTTTCTCCCACATCTCTTGACCTCCTGGTAGGTTCTGGTGGCAGAAATGGGGTGTTTTCACCAAGAGACAGCGCAAGGCCCTGAGACGGACTTCCTTGTCTCGAATCGTGTGTGATAATACTGGTATCACCACCGTTTCAAGGGACATCTTCAAGGCCAATATCTACCCTCGGGGTTTTGTGAGCTGCAGTAGTATCCCCAGGTTGAACCTATCAGCTTGGCGAGGCAAATGAGGCTTCTGCAGGTAAGGGGAGGCCTGCAGGCCCTCACACCTTTTGTTGGACAGATGGCTTCTCCTAGGCTTCCAAGTAGAGACAACAAAATTTGTCACCAGCAACAGGGGGCTCTTTCCTAGTGGCTTTCCAGTATGCTAAATTCTGAGCTGGTAAGTCAATCCCAAAGCCTAGGACTCTGAGGAGCAATTCGGAATTGTCCAACTATCCTTAGAACTTGGTCACTGGTGCCTGTTTTAGGATCCATTTCTGGATATCTGGCAAATCCCTTGCTTATTCACTTCTGTTGTTTCCACAGGAGTCTGTGCCAAGCCCCAACTCTTGGAAATGAGGGTAAAGGGAAGATCATGAGGTTGCCTTTGCTGTTGGAACAACTATTTCCTGTTGGTGCTTTCGGCGGCTGCGACTCACTGCCCGCCTCATTGGCTGAGAGGAAAAGCAGGGACTCCTAGCAACGATGGACCCGCCCACCCTTGGAGCCTCTTAAGTATTAGGTTAAGAATTAGTACCAGATACAAGGATTTGTGAGCCAAGCCATGAGGTCCCAGCAAGAGTCAACTGAAGGGTTTCCAGTACTTTCTTCTATTTCCCTACCACCACCATGACTAGAAGGTCACCTAGTCCCAGTCTCACCACCCCACAATCCTGAACCTGCAGGCTGGGAGCACACTCTGTACCAATAAAGCATGTTGAGGGCAGGGGCTGCTGTGTCTATGTTGGGTTAGGGGCAGGTGGCCTCAGGCCCATGCCTTGCCCTAGATGTTGCAGGACAGCACTGCTATGGCACAAGTTGGCATTCTGCGTCTCTTCTGGGGACTGAATTAAGAGAGCCAAAGAAATGCCCCAAAGGGAAAGACAGAAAAGAGAAAGGCAGAAGTGTTAGGGACCCAACGTTAAAAGGTACCTGAGCCAGGCCAGTGACCTGAGGAGAGAAACAGCCCACAGAACATGTCAATATATAAATAGATTTATGTACAAAAAACACAGAAAAAGATACTGTCCAGCTAGCAAAAAAGGATTGGGACCTGCCAGGGTCTTAGATCTCTCACGCTCCTCCTTCCTTGGAGGAAGGCAGGCTCGATTTTTAAAGGCTGTGAAATAGGCAGCTCCCTGTAACTGAGACTGAGACAAGCCAGAAGAGAGGGTGTGTCAAGGACAGGCTAATTAGGGGTTTACCCGTGAAAGTGGTTTCAGACCAAAAGTCCTGTTTTTCTGTGCTGCCCACTTACAGCAGCTGAAATAGAAAGAGGGGCCACATGGGACCATAGGGTTTCTGGCTTTATTCTCACATGGCGCGAAAAAGACCGTGCTGAGAGTCCAGCAGAGGGGCCAGCCTGGGACTTTTCAGCACTTCTGGGCCTTGGCAGGCCGCTGTGATCTCTTGGAAGACGAAGAACCAGGAGGGCATGGGCCTGACATCCCTCGTCTTATCCTCTTATACCACAGGCCAGGGCCAGGGACAAAGAGAGTTAGGAGACCAAGGTTCCTGAGGGGCTCACGAGGTCCTGGGGGAGGCTGTCTCGGGCCTCCTGCATGCGGCGCCGGGCTCGATGGAAGGCCTCTGAAAGGGAAGACGATGCTGCTGTGTAATCGGCTGCTGCATTGTGGGGAAGAATACGGTTCTGGGTGGCCAGCTGGGTGGGGGAGCCTACCTAGCACATTGTGAATGGAACTCTGCTGGCTGAATCCTTCCAAACGGTCCAATACACTCCGCATCCGTTTCTGCAGGGAGCTCGATTCCATGAAGGCCCTGCGGGAAGCCCATCACATGGTCACAACTATTCTTTAGCCCTTAGGGTTGAAGAGCCCAAGACCGAGCTGGGGCAACTCACCTGGACTGCTGCAGGCAGTGCAAGCGGAAAGTGACACTGCCTGTGGTCTCTGTGCGGAGTCCAAAGCGGCTGAGGCGCTCCCCCTGGCGCATGAGTGGAGACAGCATCAGTTTCTGCCGTCTCTGGACCCTACGTGGTGCCTCGTCCCATGGCTGCGGGCCTCCCTGCCATTCTTATTCCTGAGCAGTTTTCCCAGGGAAACCTCATGCCATCATCCAAACCCCATCACTGCAAAGCTAGCTCTGGGCTCCCAAATGCAACTCAGGGAAATTCTAACCCCAGCTAAGAATAAGCAGGCTTCATGCTTCCTGCAACCCCACCCTGCATCTGATCACTGAGGTCTTCAGTCAGGGAAGAATGGCCAGCCATTCAGGAGGATGCCAAGGGAAATCTCTAAGTATACTGTTTTCCAGAGACCTCCTAGGATATCTGTGCAGATATCTATGTGGCCACGACTTCTAGTTAAAACCATAAAAGAAAGTCACTTAGGAATAGTGAGGTGGTAAACAAGTAGGGGAGAGGCCTCAACCCAGAACCCACCCTCTGTAGAATAAAACAGAAACAAAGGTCCCAGCATGACGTCTCCCTGGAGACAGGTCACCTTGAAGGTTCCTGGTATCCGCACGTAAGTCAGGTCCTCCAGCTCCAGAGAGCCGCCAATGAAGAACCTCCTCAGCTCAGCCACAGGACCAAGCTCCATGGGCCTCCACGTGGGCAACGTCAGGGTGTGTGAGCCTGTGCCAGGGAAGAGGAGCATGGGGCCAGGGCTACCAGGGGCACGTGGCCCCTCACTGACTCTCCAGCAATGACCACACCTGGTCTGGTGACAACCTGACCGCTGGGGAAGGTAATCACGGTGGTTAACAACACCTGTTTGGAATGCGGACAGAAATGTGAATCTCAGCTCTTCCAGTGATCATCAGCATGGCCAGGACAAGTTCCTCAACCTCCCCAAGCCTCCTCTTCCTCAACCCATGTAATGGAAATAACACCCTTACTTATACCTCACAGGGTGGTTGAAGAATTGGGTGAGAAGCATTTAGCACAATGCCTGGCACTCAGCAAGAGGCCGCGGCTTTTATTTCAAAGTGAATGCCTATTCAGTCACACCACATATGCCAAGAACCCAATTATCTATCATGTAGCTTCTCTTGCAAGGTCTTAAATCCAATCAGAGGAGCAAGAGGCACGTAATGGCTTCAGTGAGTCAATTCCAACATCACATCTAATTTTCATTATTTGTCTCTAATGGAGCAAGGAGAAATTCCTCAAAAGAACAAAACATCTAAAGTTAAATGCTTCTAATCCCAAATTATTCCTATTTCTCCTCAGAAGCATTCAAATCTGGGAACCTTAGTCTTTTTCCTAGGACTGAAGACACGTGCGTCATCTGAAGGGCAGGGATAAGAGATTACCTGGGGTGGTAGGCAGCACCACAGCCCCATAGCCTTCCACACGGTACCTCTGCCAGAAGTCCAGGGAGCGGACCTCACAGTAGAGCACAGGCCACTCCAGGAGAGCATCTGGATATAAGGGAGGAAAGCAGCCAGGTCACAGGAGGCCATGGTCAAAGGAGACTGTGGGCTGAGGAGAACCGAAGCCCAGGATCAACTGCTGCCCTACTCACCAGCTGATTCGTCCTCATGCAGAAAGAATGCTTCAAATGTGAATGGGTAGGAGAAGTACGCTACGTTGTCCTGAAAAGGAGGAATGTCACTTTATACTCAATGTCAGAAGGTGGCCAAGGCCTCACTTGGAATTTGTTAACCCCTGTGGCTAATGACAGGGTCATTTTCACACAGAAAAAATAAAAATGATCACGCTGGTGGGAATTGAGACGCTGAGTCAAAGAGACAGCAGAATATAAGCTGCCACTATCCTCAAAATGACTGAAAGAGGCCCCCAGCCCTGGCAGCCCTCAGAGCCCACCAACAAGGGTCAGGCCCAAGTTGAGCTCTTTCCCAGAGTACACAGCTGTTGACCTGACTAAGCTATGCCACCCCAGGAACAGATTCTCCTTCTCTTTCAGGGAAACTGGATTCTCCATACCATTCCCAGGGACTTTGTGGCACAGGTCTGGGTTACTCCTGAGAGCTGATGGAATTCTGGGCTCGACCAGTCTGAAAGCCAAAAATACCAAATATAGTAAGTTTACCTGGGAGGAGCCCAAGTCATTGAGAAAAAAAATGAAGTTCCTTCATTCATTCATCCATCCACTCATTCATACAAGTCACGTATTTATAAGTTCCCGAGAGTCTGCTACTTGCTAGTATGATTTGGAGATTTCTTGGTGACTAGATACGAAAGACCCCCTATCTCCCATGAAGTTCACATCCTAGTGTGCACATGGAAGAAGAGACATACAAGACCCACAAGAGATTATCAGGGGGCAGTAAGTATCATACTAAATACAGAACAAGGGACTCGATGACTTGGAGATTCATTCAGAGTAGGGGTAAAAGAAGAAATGACACTGAGACCTAAACCGAAAAAGAACCAGCCAAGCAATGATATGGAAGAAAGGATCTTTAAATGGTCCTGTGGAGGTGAAGGGTAGGAATGACACTGGCAATGTCAACAGCAGGAAGAATGACTGGAATGCTGCCAGGGAGAGAGAAGCTGGAACCACCTCACGCATGGTGTGGAGTTTAGAGTTCACACCAAGTGTGAGGGTAAGCTGTTGCGGTTTTCAGCTCAAATGAGACCAAACCGCTTAGCATTTTTAACAACACAATGCAGCAATGTGTGTGTGGCAAAGAAGCTACCATGGGGGAGCAAGAGAGGAAGCAAGAGGATAAGTCAGAAACTTAACGTACTGGCTCAGGCAAGAGATGGCAGCAGCTTGGTGTAGGATGCTAGGGAGAACAGACAGATCCAGGATGGAGCTGAAAGGAACTTCTCATGGCCTGACTGGCTACAGCGAGCTAGAGAAAGCAAGCAATTGTGCAGATCTCCTAGGGTTTGGGTATCTGCAACTAAACGGATGTCACTGCCATTTTGCTAGAATGGGGAGGACCAGGGAGGGAGGTTTGAGGGAGAACTGAGAATTCTTGGTCACGTTAAGCAGAAATGGCAAAGAGGTAACTGGATATAAATGTGGAGTTAGAGGAGAGGCAAAAGCTAGAGAGGAATCTGGGAGTCTGAGAGACACAGACGAAATTTAAACCATGGGAGGGGTGTGACTGCCTAGAAGACTGTAAGTAGAGAATAAAAGGAGCCTAGGCTCAGCCTCGGATATGTGCAGTTTAAGGTCAAGAGAAGAGGAGGAATCAGCCAAGGAGCCTGATCAGCTCCCAGTGAGACGGAGGACAGGAGTGTAGGGCCAGAAGCAAGACAAGGGAAGAAAAGTGAGCTGTGTAATAGGCTTCAGAGAAGCCAAGTAAGGGGAAAGCAGAGAAGTCACCACTGGATTTGGCAATGTGAAAGTGCTCTACGTCCTTGAAAAGAACAGTATCGGCTTCGGCTGAGAAGCAGATGGAAGCCTGGCTGAAGCCCCTAGAACTGTTGAATGGGCATAGAAGGGGAGACTGAAGAGTATTACTTACTACCAGCTGGCAGTTCCACAAAGAAATGGACGTAGAGATTGTCATACTCATAGCCTTGGGCTGAAACTAAAAGAGAAAACAAATTACATTAGCTTATTCTCCTAGGCTTAGTCCTGAGGGGCATACAAGCTCTGGAAATAAGTCATCTGTGGGCCTGGAACACTCCATTTCCAGGAAAGACTCATCATAAGTTTCCCCTGTTGCAGACAGGCCAAGTTGTGGGGTTCCTTGGGGTGAGGTATGTTACTCACAGCTTCATCAGACTCACCCGTGCAGGGTGGGATCCGTCGGATAAGACACTTACCTACCTCTCCAT